AGAAGGAAGAGACACTTGCAGACGTGGAAGACTCCGCGTGTGCCACTCTTTACAGGTGTGGTCGCCGATGCCTTTGCGTGGCAGTGAGCTGGGGTGAGTCAGATGCTTGGGGAGATTTGGCTTCTTCCGGAATCAAAGACCCAATGAAGACAACATGCAGCTCGGAAAATTGTTTCAATAAAACACAGAATCGTTGCTTCTGAGGCAAGAAACTTCACAGTATCTTATCGGGAACAGACCAATAATACAGAAAAATCTTTGTTTTTTTGGCAGGTGGAAGAATAAGTTTTAGGACAGTATTGATATTTAAAACTTACTTTTTTATTATTTCTGCCTATAGCACCTATGTGGTCTCCCATCCAAGTACTAACCAGGCCTGACTCTGCTTAGCTTCCGAGATCAGAAGTCCAGCTTGTTCAGGGTGGCGCGGCCGTAGACCATGGACCGTGGCTCCACTGGGGCGCGAACCCAGGACCTTCTGTGTGTAAAGCAGACGTGCTCACCGCTGCACTATGGAACCACGTCCTAGAGCTTATCTTTAAAAACCATTCTTATCCAACTTGATCGCACATAACATTTCTTCTTCATAAACTTTTTACAACTTTCTTTGTTCCTTTTAGTTTGTCTCTTGTTCTCTTACCCATTCAGAAATAACCAGGACAAAATGACCTTCATCCCCCTTAAAGAAAACACATCTCCATGTCACATACCTTTGTTTATTTATTTATTATTATTTTTTATGGTGACGTTGGTTAACGAAATCCACTAAGTTTCAGGTGTATGATTCAACTGTAAGGTGTGTGGATATGTATGTGTACATATATATCCACACACATGTATACGTTCATACCTTTGTTTAAAAATCAAAACGTATCCTATTTTTCTTGTATACACAGTTGTTTTCCCTGTTATTGTTTTTTGTTGCTTTAACTACATATATTAGAATTCTTGACCTGTAGAAACTAATTTCTGGTGAAGACTAAGAAGTAAGTGATTATGAACTAACTGTTGCACCAGTGTTCTTTAGATTAATGAATTTGTAAATAGATGCCCTAATTTCTAGAGATATATGCTTTTCATAGTACAGTCTTTCAGTGAGGCACAAGACGTGTTTACTAAAAGACCCAAATACCATTGGTTCCTCTGTGGTGAAAAGCCAAAGTAGATAAATCTGTTTAATAATTAATTTTAATTCTTTTATTTGGAAATAGTCTGGATAGTCAATGAATTTTCATCATTTAATTTAGTTAGCAAAACTTCAAAGTTTCAAAGGGATTTAGGAAACCATTTTAAGTACATCAAATATGATTTTTGCTAAAGAGGTCACCTCAAAAAACCTCTGTCCTTATTTTATTTAGTTTACTTGCTCTTAACAATTCTGTTTAGATTACTTATGAAAATTTTATCATACCAAGTTATTTTTCTTGTTGACAAATTTTGCAACACGGATAACATGAACTTATTTGACTAGTAAACCCAGAGAGAATGAAATTATTATACTGAATGATAACCATACAGACATGCCTGTTTAACCAAACCAAACTCCAGTACGAAATATTTCCCCAGCTCATGTGATCCTGAAAAGTGGGTTAGTCTGTATTACATTTTTGAGAATTTTATGTCGGTGCTTGTTCGAGCCATTTGAATAGACTCTTTTACAAATGAGCAGTGCTGTCCAGAGGTAGAGAACCACACACGCACGTGAGCACAGTCACACTCCTGCCCTTGGCTTTAAAATCACAGCCTTGGGACAGGTAATAATCTCATGTACTCGATGGCCGTGTCGTTTTCTAATGAACGTTTGCGGAGAAGACAGTGAAGATTTGTGTTCGTCCTTGGCAAGGGGGTCCTGGAGCCAGAGGAGCAGTTCGTGCTTTCTCCCTCTGTTTCCTTCGGGACCTGGGGCTGGTAGAGATAGGGGGCCTTGGCATACTGCCGGAGCTGCCTTTCTGCTGCGCGAGGGGGGGACGTTTGCTCTGGGCGCCCCAGGGCCGGGTCGACGCCCTGTCCGGCGGCACGGTCGCCAGCTGGCTTCCTTCCGGGCGCACAGCTTCATGTAGCTGCGCGAGGGCCCTCAGCAGACCCCGTCCGGCTCTGACTCTCCGGCTTCCCGTTTGACAGATTTCCGACCGGGAAGTTATTAAATCCTTCCACGTATCTTGTCAGGTCAGCGGCGGGGACAGCAGTGTTTCCGGTGGTCAGATAGTCCGCGGACCCGAGGGGGAGCAGAGGGCATTCCCTTCCAGCGTCAACCCCGCCGACACCTGCATGTCCCAGGTGGCAGAAGCCACGCCGGGCCCTTAGCACAGGCAGCAGCTCCCCTGAGAGAGACGGGGCCAACGGTCATTCGGTCCGGACCCACGGAGGAAGGGCCGGGCTGACACCCCAGTTCCCTGTCACTGGGCGCAGAAGGGTCGTCTGTTCACAGGGCCCCGTGGGCTGGGCCCCCCTGAGTCGCGCAGTCTCTCATCGTGGCCCTTAGGGCGGCCTCGGGCCGGACCAGGGCCGGGACGCCTGTGTCAGGCCTGCGAGGGCGTCAGTCGGAAGGCTCTGCCGCAGCACCCGTCCCCTGCCCCGTCGCAGCCTGCTGCCACTGGCCTTTCGATGAAGCTATTTAAAGATGTTTCAGCTCTTACGTTCCTAACTGTAGCCTTTGTTAGGACTTTGCCAGCAGGTTTGGTCTTAGAGCTCTGGGTAGGGACGCTGTTCCCGTAAAGCATTCGGGTGACGGTGACGTCACTCCACAGCCCGTGTAAGTGTCCAGCGTCGTCATCTGACTTGCCTTACGTTCCCTGTTCTAACCTAATTGTATCCTGAGTCGGGTGTCACTCATGGGTTTTGGTACCACAGTGTGTGAATTCCCATATCACGGAGCCCTAAAAATTTCCTTTCTCTGCCCCCTGACCATTTCACCCACTCTTGAGTCAAAAGGCTGTGGGTCCCAAGCAAGGGGTCAAGCTAAGGACCCTGGTCCTTTGGTCGACCTGTAAGTTCGGTTCCCGTCCCGGCCGCCGGTCGGGTTGCTCCCTGTAACCTCCACCTTCTGGCTTTTTAATGTGTCCTGTGGGCGAGTCGAGCAGACATCAGTGGCCGCTAGGGCCCTGCCTTGTTGGGCACCAGCGAGGGTCCCTCTGGCCCAGCCTCTGGTAGTGCCGAGTGAAGCCCGAGTGTCAAGCCCGGCACCGCCTGCTTTGTCTGTCCCATTTCTCAGTGACCGTCCAAAGCTTCCTGCCCTGCCGGGCGAGGCCACGGTCCCCCGTCCTGCCTGTGTCCTCTGCTCCCGTCAGTCCTTGCTTTGTTCGCTTTATTTCTTCATAACCTTGAGAACTTTCCAGCGTTTGGGGAAGAGTCTCCGGACTGTCCCTCGGCCTCTCCCTGTCCCCGTGTATTTCGTCAGCGTCTGAGAGGCCCACGGCGGGGCTGGGACCACGTCAGCAAGGCTCCTGCGCTGGCTGGTTTCTGTGAGGCTCATCATCATTCTTCCTCGTGCCCATTTTTTAATATTTTGGTCTCTAGGTACCAGTAAAACCACTATTAAGTTGGGAGCTCACTAAAAATTTTTCAATTGAAAAGATTCTCCAGTGAAAGGGTCTATGTCTGGCCAGTGACAGTAGGATGTAGTCACCTCGGTAGCAATTCCAGCCAGTAAGCCTTTTCATGGAAAGACCTGGCTTAGAATAAATCATTTCCGTGGATGCAGACAGTGCAGCCCCCATGGTCGAAAGATTCACTCCCAGAAACATCACAGGCGGTCAGGGTGGCGGGGTGCACGTGGCGCCTCCGGTCTCCCACGAAATACGAGCACCTCCAGCCACAATCCCACCAGTTTGTGGCCCCAGGCAGGCGCTGCTGAAAGGAGCTTTTCCCAGCACTGACCGGTGACAGAGGTGGAGATGAGGCCCTTTCCGGGCTGGGGCCCCTGTGGTGCGCTCCCCTGTGGGCTGGCATGGCCGCCGCCGGGCGCACCTAGGCGAGTGCACCTTGCAGGTGGTTGAGACGGGGGTTCACGAGTCTGTCTGCCCTGGTCACAGAGCCAAGCTCCTAGGACGTAGAGCAAGACAGAGAGCAACCTCATCCGGCTTTGAGAGAGGGGGGCCCGCAGCAGTTTGTCCCCACAGACTCCTGTCCCGAGAGAGCCGCTCAGCTCTGCAGCCTGCGAGGCTGCTGCCAGCAGGCTGCGGGGGCCTGCGCTTGTGCTCTGTCCGGCCGTACTTCTTTCTTGTGACAAACAGCACAGAAGACACAGGTGCAGGGAAAACGACTGCTTTCGGGAGGAAAGACTCAAAACGCAGCAGTTGCTGGGCCCGAGCAGTGAGCATCACAGGGACACGTTCGTGCCGATCTAAGTGCCGGAGAGGGAGCAAGGACTCGGCCCCACAGTCCCGCCCGGTGCGGTGCAGCCGAGGCCTGGGCCAGAGCAGGGCAGGGCGGCGCGCTCCCCTGCAGCGCTCACGTGTGCCCGACCCCGGCCCTGACCTCTCGGGCGCAGCAGCGCGTGCTTGTAGCTGGCTGGCCAAACTTTCAGGGCAGAAAAATTCTTTTCCTCCCACCTTCTGAGTTCCGTCTGGACCAGGGACCAACACGGGACAGGTTAGCAGGAGAAAACGACCCGGTTTATCACACGTGTCCACACGGGGTTCCATAGGAACCGGCACCCCTCATTTCGTGTCCTTAAGCGTGAGGCAGGCATGTTGGTGGTGTGGCACTCGGCGTGTGCATAGCGCACAGCCCCCGGGGGGGGCGTCTGCTCCCTTGGGCGGTTCTGCCCCTGGACTTAGAGCTGGAATGGGGGCTGTCTAGGCCGGGGGCTGGAGTTGGCCCAGCCAGCCCTCCCTGCTGCCCCGTCACCCGGCTCTGTCCCCCAAGGTCCCACTGGGGTCGGGGGCTGTTACCACAGTGGGCGTCCTGGGGGTCCCTCCCACCGCCCACCTCCTGCCTCGAAGAAGCCAGCGTGGGCCTGCGCTTTCACACACTGAGGGCTGTTTGTTCTTTATTTGCAGAGGTATTGTGGCCAGTATTTTGGTTTTCTTATGTTTTGGAGTCACACAAGCTAAAGACGGGCCATTTTCCAGACCTCACCCAGGTAACTTGCCGTTTCTTTTTCCGTGTGTGCCACGTGGCGGTTCTTTTCTGAGCAGTCGCTCTGTGTCTGTGCTGCTGGGTGTGAATGTCCTGCTTCCCCTCTTCCTGTCCCGTTTTTGCGGGCCACCCACACTTGTCATCTGAGGAAGGCGAGGGCTGCGTTTTGAAGTCACCTGTAAGTTCTCTCGGCTGCTGGGTCGCCTTCAGCCCAGGTCTGTGTGTTCCTCACCCTGCAGTGGTCCTGTCCTCTCAGGCAGAGGTTCCTCCTGCAGACCGAGGTGTTCCTGGGCTGCCCAGTGCGGCTGGTGTGGGCTCGGACGGGTGGCTGTGCTGTCGGCCGTGAGGTGTCTGCCCTGCCATTGAGGAGCCATCTGCGGGGAGTTCTCCTGTCTCTGTCCACCTGCCCCTGGGGTTCCGGGGGCTCTGACCCCACAGAGCTGGAGGGCGTGCTCGCACGACTCGGTCCTGTCCTGGCCCCCAGGGCCCAGCTGGTTCAGGGCCCCAGCCTCACTGGGGCAGGGCATGTGGGTGGCTTTCCTGAAGGGTCACAACTTAGTAACACGTTTCTTTTCTGTCTCAATAAGGGTATGTATTTGTTGTAGAAAATTTGGAAAATACAAGAAATGTTTTAAGTAAAACTACAGACCACTCACAAAAAATAACCACTGTTTTGATGTGTTTGCACCCTTGTACAGGTACATAGCTTTAAAAAAATTGGAATCGTGTCATGTGTGGGTTTATATCAGATTTAACACTAGCATTTCCTTTTTTTAAATTAGACAGCTGGATTTTTTTTATATGCCAAAGGAGTTTTATTTTGACAGCTGGACTTTCAATGGCTGCTTGTTTAGCGGTCATTTGAATGTACTACAGTTAATTTAACCAGTTCCATGTAATTCTATATTTAGGGGTGTCCATTTTTTTGTAGTAAACCAGGCTGCACCGAGTCCTCACACAGACGTCTGTGTATGCGTGTAGCAGAGTCCCAGGAGAAGTGGCTGGGTAATGAGCCGGCCCACAGTAGATGTCACCGGAGGGCCCTCCAGAGGGGACGTGTCTATAGGGCCCAGTGGGCGAGGTGGGTCTGAGCAGTCGCCGGCCCCTCTGCCCCTTTAGTGCCTGCTGGGGACGTGAGTGCTGACTGGCCCCTGCATGGTCCCTGGCCCCGGGGCAGTGGCAAGCATCCTGGGCTGCAGGGCACAGCCAACACCTGAGGGGTAGGCGAGGCGAGGGGGGGCGGCCAACTCCACCTGCTCAGTGTCTGACACACCCAGTCCTGCCGCAGAGGGTTTGGGCTCCTGACCGGTGTGACGGGAAAGCGAGGCGGTAGCGTCAAAACCACCGGAGTCGCGTGGAAGGCCGGGGGCAGTTAAGTTGGTCGCGTCGATTCGAAAGGAAGAGTGAGAGCTGCCAGGGGCTCAGCCGAAGCTGGTCTGTAGTTGGCGGTGGTTGACGGCCCGGTGAGCCCCTGTGGGCGCCGGGCCGGGTCGCAGATGCAGTCCCCGCGGGACAGACAGCCCTGCCCTTGGGACCGGCCAGCACGCAGCTGCTCGTCCCGGCACCGGTTCCCCGGGCTCCAGGAGACCCTGGGCTCTGTGCGGTCTGGCTCACGTCACCTGGCAGGACTCTGGTCTTCCTGGAGCCGGGTGCGCATTGCACGAGGTCCCTCCGCAGAGGCCGTGACATCCCCGGGTCCGCGTTCAGAGCCCTGCTCTGCCTTTCGGTTCAGCGGCTTCGCGCACACTCCAGGTCTCCTTGCCAGTCTTTGACTTAATTAAGGCGGAGCCTGTCCTGGAGCACCTTCCAGACGTCTCGTTAGCCCCTGACCGGCAGCAGACGTCCACCTCCTCAGGTGGCTCATGTGGTCGGTGCTGCCCAGGCCAGGGGTGGGGGTTGGGAGCGGGGGATGGGGGACCTCGCTGGGAATGGGTGTCATCTCAGAGGGAGGCAGGCGCCTTCCTGATGTCCTTGTCTTCGGGCTCCTCTGCGAACTGGAGCTCGGCGGGGCATTCTCAGGGCTGCAGGCGGCTGGAGTCAAGTGTCTAGGAAGAAATAAGTGTTGGGAGCAGGTGCCAAGCCAGGGGAGCCAAGCCCAGGATCTCGAGGGGACCGGAGACCCTGGCAGAGGGCCTGGAAGAGGGCCTGCTGGGTATTTGGGGAGGGGCGGGCAAGTCTGGGGCCCTGGCAGGTGCTACAGGGTGAGAGCAGGGGGTGCCGAGATGGCCCGCCTTCCTGCAGGACGGGGCGGCGCGGGGCCCGCGCCGAGGGCTGCTGTGCGGAGGCGCCAGGCGTCGGTTCAGCCTCGGGCGGGCGGTCTGAGCCCCTTGGGAACTGAGTGCGGGAACCCCCTGCCCCAGAGGGCCCGCCACCCGCCCCACCACCACGGTGCCCTTTTAGCCGCTTCTGCAGCCCTTGGGCGAGAGGGAGTTTCCCGAGCTTTTCCTTCCTTGAGAGCAGGATGAATAAGTGTCGCCTCAACAGTTTGTCCCCAGTGTCCGGAACTGTGTTAGCAAATGCTCCACGTTTGTGTTTCCTGCCTGCGCAGGCCAGTTTTCCCTAAACCTCCGTGGCCGTTTCTCCGTGGCAGGGAGATGAGGCACGGGCGCCGAGGGTGCTGGGTTGGCCCTGGAGACTCGTGGGGACACGCCTGTGCGGTGACGCCTGGCGCCTGCCTAGCCGTCACTCTGGGTCTGGTGCATCAGGCCCTGGCACCCCCCACTGCTCCCCTGGCTGCTGCCCACCCCTCCGGTCCCCTCCCCCAGCTGGATGACCCGTCAACAACAGTGGTCCAGCCTGGGGCTCTGGGTCTCCGTTCCAGAGCCTCTTAAAAGATCATGAGCACCCCTTTTTTATTCAAGGCGCATCAGGTTTTTTGTTTGTTTGCTTGTTTCCAACGGTTATTAGTCTCTCTTTATTCTTTTGGTGACATCTTCCAGAGTTAACTACTTCAGTTTGTAGGCGGCGAAATGTCCAAGGTAGCCACTTTAAATGCTGCGTCAGTGAGCTTGGGCTTTCCCTATACTTCGACTCAGAATTAAGACTTTGATCCTTGTTTTTTCTGTATCCCAGCCCCGGAAGCAGTTTTTACCGTAGGAGTTTTCTGCAGACAGTCTCCTGCTCTGTAGTCCTCTGTGACCAGGCTCTCGGCTCTGTCCTGTGCAGTGAATTAGTTTTTGAAAGTAGGCTGGTGATGTTTATTTATTTATTTATTTATTTAACACACACAAGCAAAGGGAAAGTCGATATTTTGGGCCTTTATTAAACAGGATTAACAAGGTTCTTGGAAGGTGAAAGTTACCATTTGCATTTCAGAATAGTTCTAGATGTCCAACCAGTTACCTCATCCCCAGTGAAAAACACGTTCGCCATTTGAGGGTGTGAACAGCAGACTAACAAAAGTTTTGATGGGCAAGGTCTTTTCTTTTCAGCTTTATTGAGACATAATTGACACACAAGATTGTGTGAGTCGAAGGTGGACAACAAGAATTCGATATATATTATGAAATGGTTGTCCCAGTAGGGTTAGTGACCACCTCTGTCACCTCATATAATTTCAGTTTTTTTGGTGCTGAGAACATTTAAGATCCATCCTCTTAGCAACTCCTGAGCATATGATGTACCGTTGCTCACATCGTCACCAGAGGGACAAGTCCCTAAGTGCGCCGATTAAAATCGAAGGCTGTGTTCCCTAAAACAAATCATCGTGACCGAACCGGGTTTGTCCCAAGAATTCAGGGCTGGTTCAACGTTAGAAAATGCATTAATGTCATTCATCACATTAACACAAAAGAGAAGAGTCGACACTCTTAAATGCAGAAAAGTAAAATTACATACTCATTCATGATAAAAACTGAGCAAACTGGAATTAAAAGGTTTTCCTAACAGGATCAAGGGTATCCACCAAAAACACACTGCAGACCTATCCGGGGTTGAGGGTTGCGAGCATTGCCAGTAAATACGGGACAGGGTGTTTGCTGGCAGTGCTCCTGTCCCACAGCTTAGGGGCCTTCTGCGCCACCGCGGTGAGATAAAGAGAAATAAAAGATTTGAGGACGGAAATGGAGGACAGAGGAAGAGAGAACAGTCAGAGAGAAACTGGGCTTACTTCCGAGTTACGTCTTGCTTTATAAAGTCCCTACCAGGGACGACGGGGCTGGAACAGATGGCGCGGGTGGCCAGGACCACGGCGGGGTGGACTCTGCCAGCAGGCGCCGGCCTGGGGCTGCCTGACGCCCCGCGCTCTGTGTGTTGCAGCCTACTGGAGGTTCTGGCTGTGCGCCAGTGTGGTCTACGAGCTGTTCCTCATCTTCATCCTCTTCCAGGTAAGCGGCTCCTCTGTGTTGGCTGTGCTGTGGGAGCTCAGGTGGTCATGTGGCCCCCAGGTAAGTGAAGGTGACGGGAGGTTTTGCACATCGGCCCCTCCAGTCCGAGGTGCGGGGAAGAGGAGAAACTGTTGGAGTGAGCAGCTTGCAAACCGCAGGAAACCAAAAGAGCATCCTGGACCTAGAGGGGAGGCTGCTTTTCTAGGGAAGTTCCTGCCCTGGTCCCCGATGGGCCCATTTCTGTGTGGACAAGGAATCCAAATTTGCACGGTCCGATTCGTCTGAATAGCACTGTCCTGATTGGACAGTCTCAGATTTTTTTGATTGGTTGGTATGGAGCTGCCCTGATTGTTCAGTATAGATACAGGTGCGGTATAGCTGCCAACTTCCAATCGGATGGGACAGGTCTCTCTGCCCATTGGTCAAGAGCCAGTACCAGGAAGTCCTTTATAAGGGCTGGCTCAGAGGACAGGAGCCTCCAGGTTCAGTCTGTGTCTTTCCTGAAATGCAGTGTGTGCCGGGCCTGTGGGGCCTCTGTCAGCAACGGCCGCTGGACTCTGGTCGTGAACTGCTCCCAGTTAACTGCTGGGAGTCCTTCTTGGTAGATACATTCGTTCTCAGGGTCCACAGAGGCATGGTTGAACCCTAACAAAAGTGGGCAGAGTCTGCAAGAAGACCCTCCAGAAGGATCCGTTTGTGAGAAGCTGGACCCACGGCCTTTCAGCAGAGGCTGTGTCCCCGGCTGGAGCTCAGCGGGCCTGGGCCCCTGGGTCAGGCCGTGCTGCGTCGACCCTGTCCTGGCGGCCTCTGGGCCAGACGAGTGTGGGCAGGGCCGGGCAAGTCCGACTGGTTCCTATGAGGGTGCCTGCTGGGCTGCCTCTGCTTTGAGTGGCAGGTGCTCCAGATCTGGGCCCGGAGCCACATGCCGGGGAAGAAGCACATCCGACCCCATGGCGCGGGGTCCTCTGAGCGTTTGAGGTGGACCTAGGGCCAGTCTTCGCTGGGGTTTTTTGGTTTTGATTTTGTGGTTGAGCAGTGTGGTTTTGTGTGCCTTTCTCCCTCCTGGCACACATTGTGCAGGATGGTCAGGGTGGCAGTTAGAAGCTTGTCTCCTTAGTAAATGTTGGATCAGGATTTGTGGCCACCAGTGTCTGTTTTATTGGTATTGATTGTTCTGCTTAATCTAATGAATGCATTTCGATGGTGACCTTCAATTTACAAAGCACTTTAATTCAGTCTCAAACTCTGTGTGGCTGGTAAATTTCACTTTTTAGGGCAGGTGTTCAGTTCTGTGAGTCTTAACACCTGTGTATATTTGCATAAACGCCGTCAGGACACAGCCCCGCCCCCGCAGACACCCTCACGTCCCTTCCTGAGAGTCTGCCGTCTCCCCGGCCCAAGCCCCCAGCCCCACTGATGGGTTCTTTCTCCATCCCCAGTTTCGCCTTTGAGCATCTCCTGTCCGGGGCCCTACGATGCCTCTGAAACCCATCCAGCCTGTGCGTTTCAGCACTCCGCTGCTTTGTGATGCCGAGTGGTCTCCGCGACCTGCGCGCAGTCACCAGGTGGTGACACTTGGGAGTTGTCGCCTGTGGGGCTGCGGGGCTGCGCTCCCTGCGGGCCCGGCCGTTAGCTCTCCCGGCAGCCCAGTGGCAGATCCAGGGGTCACGCCCTTGTCGGCACGTGCCAGATGCTTCATTTCAGGCAGCAGGGCTTAGCACGGTCCTGATTTGCGTTTCTGGAGTGGATGGTCATGTTGACCCAACTTCTCATGTGTTTATTAGCCACGCAGACATCCACTCTCGGAAGTGTTCAGGTTTTTTGCCTTTTTAAAAACTGGGTTTTTATGGTGTTATGACATTTTTATATAGTCTTGATATAAAGTCCTTTGTTGGGTTTGTGATTTGCAAATATTTTCTCCAAGTCTGTAGCTTGTCCTTCATTCCTTAACAGTGGTCTTCCTCATTTCTTTTCTGGATTGAGATTGTGATGTCATGTCTAAAATTTTTTTTTCTAATGTCATGTTACTAAGATACTAAAATTTTTCTCCTTTGTTTTTTTCTGAAAGTTTCATAGTTTTAGATTTTACATTTAGATCTTCTCCATTTTGAGGGTTTTTAAAAAATATTTTATTTCGAAATTATTGTTGATTCACAAGGAGTTCTAAAGAATTGTACAGGGAGGTCCCGTGTGCCCTTCACCCAGTCCCTCAAGAGTGACATTTTCCATAAACGTACAGCAGTGCCGCACCAGGAGATCAACATCGATTCAGGCCACAGCGCTTGTCACACTTCACCACTTTGACATGCGCACACACGAGTGGAGTTCTGTGCAATTTTCAGTTTTATGACAGTGCGTTTAATTAATTTTAGCAAAATACACGTAACACAAAGTTTACCGTCGTAGCCATTTTTCATTACACAGTTCAGTGGCATTAGGGCCATTCTCGTGCTGCCGTCACCGCCACCATCTTCAGAACTTTGTCCTCATCCCAAACCGACGCTCTGTCCCCATGAAACACTCCCCAGCCCCCCAGCTCCCGGAACCACCCCCTACGTCCTGTTTCTGTGACTGACACTTCTAGGGACCCCAGGTAAGTGGGATCACACGGTGATTGTCCTGCGTGTGGCTCATTTCAGTCAGCACAGTGTCCTCACGGTGCATCTGTGCCGTAGCAGGTGTCAGGACGTCCCTCCTCTCCAACCCGGTTCCTCTCTTTTTCCTGTGCTGCCCCAGCTACAGTCTCAGGCGCCGTCCCCCAGACCGGCAGGCAGACAGCCTCGTCGTGTCCCTGATTTAGGGGAAGGGCTTCAGCGTGTCACCACGTAGCACGTCGTCAGCTGTGGGTTTTTCATAGGCCCCACGATTCCGTGGAAGATGGTCCCCTCTGCTCCTAATTTGTCTTTTTATTATGAAAGGGTGTTGGAGTTGGTCAGATGCTTTTTCTGCATCAGATGTGGTGATCGTGTGGTTTTCCCTTTGTTAATATGGTGTGTTTCATCGATTCATTTTCTTATTTTGGACCAACTTGGTGTTACTGGTGTAACTCCCACTGGTCATGTGGATAACCCTGTTTCTGTACAGCTGGGTGGAGTTTCCTAGCGTTTCACCGAGGACTTTGCGTCCCCGTTCATGAGCGACGTCGTCTGTAGTTTTGCTGCAATGTCCGGATTCTGCTGACATGGTCGGCTGACTCAGGAACGCGGCCCTCCTAACCCTCGGATCCTGTGGTTGCCACAGCACATGTGGGCAAATCGTTATGAACCATGTCATTGTCTGAGGGTCACTTCCAAAGACCCCAAGTCAGGGACAGGGGCCTCAGTCATGTGACAGGATGCAGGTCTGAGTGTCACCTGTCCATGCAGCTTGAGCATCCCCCCCTTTGTTCCTTGGCTACTGCTCGGGGCAGGGGTGTGGGGATGGGGTCCTGATGCTGGGCATGTGGGGCCGCTCCCTGTGGACTGGTGGCCCAGCTTGTGGCCGGAGGGGGAGTGGGCCGCCTGCTGTGGGCCACTCTCCTCCGTCAGTGCCGTCTCGGGACCGTTTGGCTGATGCTGGCGTGTGCGTGTCTGGGAAAGGCTGTCCTGGGGCCGTGCGAAGCGTGGGGCGGGGACAAAGAGAACCCCCCAGTGCTCGGGCCACCCCTGCCCCTCCCATGGGAGGCACACCTGTGACCCATGCAGCATGGTCCTGTGGGGTGCGAGCGTCACCTGGGACTTGGGACTGCCTGGGGGACGGCATGTGCCCGCACAGTCGGTGGAGGTGTTGTCTGTGCACCGCACGCCCCAGTCCGCCCGTGCAGCTGGAGCTGTCAGGGACGTGGCCGGTGCATGTGTGTGGCTACACTGACCTTGCAGACTGTCCAGGACGGCCGCCAGTTTCTGAAGTATGTTGACCCCAAGCTGGGGGTCCCGCTGCCAGAGAGGGACTACGGGGGGAACTGCCTCATCTACGACACAGACAACGAGACCGACCCTTTCCACAATGTGTGGGTAAGGCCGGCCGGGAACCAGGCGTGGGGTGGGCCCAGGGCTGCCCCGCCGGGGGCTTCTCTGGAGCCCGAGTCACTCAGACCGCATGGGGGGGCGGGTGCCCACTGCAGGGCACCTTTCTCTCCTCGGGTCAAGGTGTGTCGTCCACCCACAGCATGTGTGCAAGCCCCTGGCCTTGTCCCTCAGAGGGCTGTGGGGTGCCCTGGGGCCCTGGACTTGGGTGGGAGCCAGCCAAGGTGTGCACAGGGGGCGAGGGGGCTGCCAGGGCCCCTGAGGGACGTCACACGACCTGGTCCTAGGCAGGGCTGTTGGGGACCACAGGGGGTCACGAGGATGGGGTACGGGGGCTGTGCGAGGCCTGCGTCCCGTCCCCTGCAGGACAAGCTGGACGGCTTCGTGCCTGCGCACTTCCTCGGCTGGTACTTGAAGGTACGGCGACCGCGTTGTTGGGCGGGATCCCCTGGTTTTCAGCCCCACCCTGGGGTCTGCGGCCGCTTCTCGTGGCGGGTGGACGTTCAGAGTGGTCGGGGTGTGGAGGGCACGGGCCCGGGGGCCACAGTGCAAGACGAGCCAGCTGTCCAGAGGCTTCGTAAAACCTCCTGGGAGCTCCGGGTATGACCCCAACCTGCGGCTTGTCCTTGGCACGGTGGCGGCCTGTGAGAGCCGTGGGCAGAAACCCTGCGAGGCCTCTGCCACCATGCCCACGCCGCTCATGAGCGTGGGGCCCACCTGGCACGCCCTCGGGCCCTGGACGCGTGAGCGGACGCACCGCACCGAGAGGTCACCCGAAAGCCTTCCGTCGGGCTGCTGGGTGGGGGGCTGTGGCGGGAGGGCTGACCCGCAGCGTCCCCGTCTGCCCGACCTGCAGACGCTGATGATCCGCGACTGGTGGACGTGCACGGTCGTGAGTGTGATGTTCGAGTTCCTGGAGTACAGCCTGGAGCACCAGCTGCCCAACTTCAGCGAGTGCTGGTGGGACCACGTAGGTGCGGCGCTCCGGGGGGCGGGAGACACGACGGCCTCCAGCAGGCTCCCCGGGGCGCAGGGCCCCCCGGCCCAGGCGAGACAGAGCGGGGTCCGCAGGCGCCCTCCTCCCGCAGTGGATCATGGACGTGCTTGTCTGCAACGGGCTGGGCATCTACTGCGGCATGAAGACCCTCAAGTGGCTGTCCCTGAAGACGTACAAGTGGCAGGGCCTCTGGAACATTCCAACGTACAAGTACGTGTCTGCATGGGGGCCCGGGCATCTGTGGGGCCTGGGGGTGGCCCAGGGTCCAGGCCCTGCTCCATCCGGTGCCTCTTTCGGGAATGGGGGGGGTGCGCAACAGACGAGGATTTTGCCTCTTGGAATCTCCACCTGGCACTTGACCCTGGGCTGCCGTGGGAACCGGGAACAGGCGGCCAGAACATCACAGCCCCGCCCCCTGTGGCCTTCCTGGGAGGCTGCCACCTGCTCCGAAGTGGCTGCAGGCGCCCTGGCAGTTTTACGTTGGTTTTAATAGAAAAAAAAGTGGGGGGGGGGGCGGGCCCGCGCCCCCCCCCCCCCCCGCCATGGGGACCTCTGGGGATGGGGCGAGGGAGCAGCATGGGCGTGGCTGAGAGCCCTCCGGCCCCCAGGGGCAAGATGAAGAGGATCGCCTTCCAGTTCACGCCCTACAGCTGGGTCCGCTTCGAGTGGAAGCCGGCGTCCAGCCTGCGCCGCTGGCTGGCCGTGTGCGGCATCATCCTGGTGGTGAGCTGCCA